TTTTTGAATGCGAATTCATTAAGGGGATAAAAGTCCAGTTAAAGTGTAATAAAATGGGAAATTTTGTCCAAAATTCAGGTATATGTGAAATAAATATTAATTAAAGACTAACATTTTATTCAATTCACTAATTGATACTAAGTTGTGTTTTCAATGCATTTTCAATAAAAATAAAGCAAAAATAACAAGAAACTGAAAAAAAAATTAAGGGGACTCGTACACCTTAAAACCCATAAGAACTTAGAATATGTGACTGTCGCAAGAATTGGGATAACTAACTTATTTTAAAAGCAATTACTTCCAACATTTTACAGCTGAATACATGATATATCTTAAGACACAATAACACGCCGAATAAATACTAATTCAGAAGTCAAACAACCAAACATTTTATAAACACCCAACATTATTAATCAAGCAGTTAAAAAATTGTCATCTCAACACACTAAAAGCCACACTCTTATTTTAGGAGATTATAAAAATTCTGTTGTCATTCCCTTCTTTCCATCAATTAGCTATAAAGTTGCACATATTTTGCAGAAATTTAACTTTCGGGTTGTTTATTCTCCCATCAATAAAATTCCAACTTCTATACTCAAGGACCCCATTCCGGATATGAATTCCTGGGGTATTTATAGGATTCCTTGCCAGTGTGGTTAATTTACATTGGGCAAACTAAGAGAGCCTTTAAAATTTCGCGTTAAGGAACATGAAGCATAATGTTAGAAAAAAGCAAACACAGAAGTCTTCTGTTGCCCAACATTGTTTGTCCGAAAATCACACTTTCAATTTTTCTGCTGCCAAAATTATTCAAAAAACATCTTCCATTGGAGAACTGGATTTTTCTAGAGGCATTTCACATTCATAAAAAATCTTTCTGTTCTAGTTAACGATCCCTAATTCCAATCCAAATTTCGCCTTCGGCCTTTAAAGAAATTATGTTTTAGTTATGGTTTCATCAACAGATGGCGCCACTTGCTTATTCTTGTCCAGGCTTTCTTATCTTATCTAATCATTATTTCCTATCTTGTTCATTTGCGGTTTTGCAGCTGAAGATGATGGTTCGGTAAAACCATCGAAACTAGTCCTGTGAAAATTTTGTGAATATAACGCTGATTTTTGTTGTTTGACTTCTGAATTAACATGATATATCTGCTTTCTGAAATAGTTATCATAAAGTTTGTGTTGCCACAAATATTTATATAATTTAATCCGCTTTGTGACAAAAGTTTTCGTCATGTTTCCACCTTGCGCGCACAGTTTAATACATTGTGTTGCATAATTTAATTCCATATTTAATATGTAACTTTTATAACATTTGGAAGCTACTGTAAACCTAAAATTCTAAAACTTTCATGTTAAATTTTTATTTTATTTTGAGTTGTGTTTATAAAATGTATTTTATTAAAAAAAATCTGTAATGTTTTCATTCATAAAATTTTTAATATTAAAATATTCATCAGATTTATGGTTTAGTGAGAAAATAGTGCCCATATAAAGAATTTCATCAAATTTCAAGTATGCACCATTTAGCCATTTTTAAAATATCATGCGCGCAAGGTGGAAACAGAAACAATTTTGTCAAAAAGCGGATTAAATTACAAAAATATTTGTGGCAGTACAAACTTTCTGGCTTACTAGTTTCCAAAGCAGCTGTATACTATGTAGTCGGATGTAAAAGGTTGGAAGTAACTGCTTTTAAAATAAATAAAATAACCCAATTCTTGCAACAATCACATATTCGAAGATCATAAGGGGTTTAAGGTGTATGAGCCTCCTTAAGTCGCATAGAGCATTTTGAAAAAACTTAAAAAATTCAAAAGAAATTAAAAAAAAAAAAAAAATAAATAAATTGCAATGATCCAGAATTTTTTCAAAGATATTTAATATAATTATAGTAAAATACACATGCATGCAAAATTTCATAATTCTATGACAATAATTAAAAAAAAAAGTATTTGGACGTCCACTGTCCCTTTACACGAAAATGCTATTAACAGTTTACCTATACTGATGAAAGTTTATTGTTAATTTACCTATATTTCCTAAAGTTCTAATATTTGCAAAATAAGCTCATTTGATTACCTAAACTAAATTAGTATTAAAACAAAAGATACACATTTTAACTAGTTAGCAGAAAAACTTACTTTCAGGATTAGTATGAGAAATTGAGGGAAATGAACTATTATTTGAACAGCGTGTTCAATGAGCAAAACGGAGCTATGATGACTTAACGCCGTGATGAAAGTTTTCGAATGTTTGAAGTTTTGTCTCCCGATACTCGATAAAATATGTAATTACTTAGAAAATCACAGTTCGAAACGGCAGAGCATCGTTGCATCTCGATTCTTTATTTCCAATGGCTCACCAGCGGCCGAGCGGTAAAGTCGCTGAACACTGGTAGTTCGGTCCGAGGTTCAAATCCCGCGAACGGGTTGGCTGCATGGGCGTTTTCGTGATTCTCTCCATGTGTAACGTGTATACTAGCCAGTTTCTCTTAGAAAGTCCTCCACGAAGGCATCCCTCCTCTTAGGCAGATAGCCCTCGAGGCTTTGCCATAATCACACGCACACACTTTATTTCCAATGTCCTACCATCAGTTTTGGTACACTGCACAAAAGAACAAAAAAAAAAAAAAAAGGCGTGGGAACAGTTCTACAGTTCTATACCTTCCGTTCTACTGGGTCAATTGATGAATTCAAATTGCTATCTTCATGTCACGAAAACCCGAGTTAGAATATATATTAGATTTATATATGGCATTGTTCTAATACAGGCATTTTGACACAAAATCGGACTTTTTCTGAAATGGCGTGCTATGTGATTTTTCATATTTCGATTCCACGACTCAAATTACGCCTTAATATTAAATTTTGCAAAATGTGGCGAGAAATTTACGAAGAAATTCAAAAATTTATCTTGGCGCATTTTTTCGAGTTTTTGCCAAGAATAATTTACTTGGCGAACTTCTCAATTGATAGAAACCTCGTTTTTTCACTGTATACACGAGCGGGAAAAGGTATCGTTCATACTTTTAAACAATTTTAACAAAATGCATAATCCACATTTGGTGTTATTACCGCTTAGCTTATAACAAATATGCTACATTTTCAAAGGCGCCAATATGTAAAATACACGTATATCTTAGGAAATTTTGAATAAAAAAACTAATCTTTACAAGTATGCTTAGAAATACATCTACTTTAAGATGATGGTAAAAATTTTATAGATTATAATACAAAATTGTTTTCAAAATATATATAAACATTATTGGAAATACAAACTTTAAAAATAAATGATAAAAATATGGGCGAATAACTTGGAATGAAGCTAAACTTCGAAATTTGAAAGGTGGTGGTGTGGTGTATTTAATTATGGCACTATCTGCCTAAGGGGAGGGATGCCTTCGTGGAGGACTTTCTAAGGGAAACTGTATCGTATACACGTTACACATGGGGAAAACCCCGAAAACACCCATGCAGCCAGCCCGTTCGCGGGATTCGAAACTCGGACCGAACTACCAGTGTTCAGCGACGTTACCACTCGGCCACTGGTGGGCGAAATTTGAAAGGAAGAATCAAAGAAGTTTAATAAAAAGAGATATTAATAAATATATTATATCAAGTTCAATTAACACTGAGGAGCTAAAATTTTGGCAGCTAATTTTTTAAAACCTACTCTTGCAATTTTTATAAAACTTGGCAGTTTGGCGTAATTCAAGTTGTAGAATGAAAATATGGAAACAAATCGGCATGTCATTGCAGAAAAAGTCGGATTTTGTGTCAAAGTACTGACGTTAGAACAATGTTATATATAAATCTAGAATATATCCTTAGTCGCGCTTTCGAGGTATGAAAAACACAAGTTGAATTTCGTCAAGCGGTCGAGTAGAACGTGAGATAGAGAACTGTCTTTTTTTTTTTCGCAGTGTACATTTGAAGATGCAACGCACAAAACGCCTTACCGTTTAGTGGGGAGATTATTGTTGAGCTCATCTATACGCTTTTAACGGCCGAAGGGAGATGAAAGATTTAAACGATGAGTTAGTAACTAACGTATTAACAACTAACAGACATAAAATGCATTTTAAAATCTTCTTACCTCCATGTTTCGATATCTGGAACCACCAGGATCATATGGATGGTTCTTCGGTTTCAGAGTATTTTAGTTCCTTGATGCGTATTTCAAGTTAAAATATACACTATGCAATAAAAGTATGTATCATGTAGAGCAGTGGTCGTCAACACTTAGAACTTCACGGACCACTACATATATAATTTTATTATTGGCGGACCACTAATATGAATTAAAAAAAAATCTGACGTGTACACCACATTTTTCAGAGTGGCTTATTCAGAAGTGCGAAAAAAGTTTGTTCGGAGCAAGAAATATAATTAACAGGAAGAATAAAATTAGACACAAAGCAGCAACTAAAAAAGCGATGTCGGGGTATTTAAAAAGCAAAAGAAATAATCTGATGGGTACGCCACATGACTTCCTTGTACGCAATATTAAATTATACGCATTTTTTCTTGCATTTCATTTAAACGTATTGGATTGAATTAAATCTACTTCACCGACAGCGCATAAACCACAATAGAATAAATGAATTCTTTAAAATTCACTCTATTTGTTTACTATGGCAAAACTCTGGCGCTAGGTTCACTTAAGAGTATTATATTTCGTTCATATTATAACTCAAAAATGCACAAAATTTATATAATTTAAAGAATTATCTAATCGTTGCCACATGTTCTATTCAAATATTATAATAAAGCTAGAACGACGTATAAAAGAAATTAAGCAAACAAAACAAAAAAGAAACCGTTTTTCACAGACGATTGAGTATTTCTCATTCAATTAATTCAGTTCTCACTTCGCGACAAGGCAAAAATACGTAAAACTCAAAATACCGTGGACCACCGGTTGGCGACCGCTGATGTAGAGGACAAATTTAGACAATGAAAATGGAACTAATGTTGGATTTTTCTTTTTTGTAGTTTCGCAGGGCTTTCAAGAGGATGCTGTCTTGTGGCAAAGCTGAGAAGAAGTTTCGAGGTCCATATATCAGCGTTGCGGGCTCGGTTGTTAGACGTCAACATCAAACCGTGACATCACAAGTGACCTCATGCACAATAGAACAACTGCAGCAGCTTCTGTAAATTGAAAGAAAAGTGAATCTCATATCATGGGAATGTGGATCAAATCTTAATTTCTATTAAAGTTGTACATTATCGTCTTGCTTGATAACAAAGCTTATTATACTATATCGTTTATTATACTATTATCGATGTTTAAAATGTTTAATGTTATTGAAAGTTTTGTGCCAAAAACTGGCGTCAAACAAATTGAAAACGTGTTGTGAATTTTGCGCATATTTTTTCCTCATGAAGTATTTCGTTATTGAATTCTCATGTTTTAAATGAAGTAAAGTACGATTTTTTTAAACATTTTTTTATTATTAATGTATTAAATATATATATATATATATATATGTGTCTGGCGATTTTGTGCATTTTATAAAATATGTGTCGTAATTTCATGTTTTTCTGTCTCTAACTTCTGTATCATCTCATACTTCTGTTCTCATACTTGGCAGCAGAAAAATGGAAGTTTTAATCGCTTTACATGTTTATATTCCTGTTACATTTCGTATATATGCAGATAATTAACTTGTCTTATTACAAAAAAATCTCCTTTACGCTATTCGTCGCCTAAATTTTTAATATGTCAATATATGTAAGGTAAAATAACACACCGAACAAATACTAATTTATAAGCAACAAAATTCAGCGTTCCATTTGCAAATTTTCACAGGAATAGTTTCGATAGTTTTATCTGCCAAAGTGCAAATGAACGAGATAAGGTATAGTGATTAGATTAGATAAGAATGGCTGCACAGGAGTTAAGCTACTGGCGCCATCTATTGATGAAACAAGAACACTAAAACATAATTTTTTTAACGGCTGAAGGTAAAAATGGATTGGAATTAGGGTCGTTAACTGAAACAGAAAGATTTTTTTGAATGTGGAACGCCTCTAGAAAAATCTAATTCACCAGTGGAAGATGTTTTTTGAATAAGTTTGGCAGCAGAAAAATGGAAGTTATGATTTTTGGACCAACAATGCTGGGCAATAGAGGACTTTTGGATTTCCTTTTACAAAAAATCTAATTCACCAATAAAACAATAAAACAACACACCCAATAAAGCAATGACTTTTGCTTGGCATCCTGATTTCGAGTAACTGAAAACGTTCACAATAAAAAATGAAGTAGCCTCCCTTCTATTTTGAGTTCGGGGAATCGGACGAAATCAAGAATAAAAGGTTGGAATTGCAAACAAAAAATACGCTCTATACGTAAAAAAGGACAGTTCTATATCTCCCGTTCTCCAACATTTCTCGCCTTAGTTGTGGCGAAGTCAAAATCGTCTTTGCGCACGCCATTGGAAAAAAACTCCCGTTCTACTTGATGAAATTTAATGTGCGTTCTTATGTCTTAAAAGCACGACTTAGGATATATATTAGATTTATATATAATTCGAACTAGCTTTATATGTATTTCGAAGAATTCTAATTTTCATTTCTTCGTATTGATTTTAATTTTCATTTGATTCTGAGTGACTCAGATTTTTGAGAATATTTTAAGATTCTGATTTTTAAGAATGATTCTAATATCTAATAATTCTGATTTTTGAGAATTTTTAAGATACCTATTTCTAAGATTGATTTTGATATCTAAGAATTCTGATTTTTATTTCGTTCGGATTGATTCTGATTTTCATTTCGTTTCAATCTGATTTTGAAATATTTCAAAATTTAAATCTGTAATACGAAGTAAAATCTTTCAAAATATATTCTCTTTCAGAAACTAAATAAAGTGAATCACCTATCTTTGGGGCAAAATAAATCATTCAAAAATAGTATGCAATTCTTAATCATATTTTGATATTACTCTTATAAGTTTGGTATTACTGTTTAAGTTCCAACCAAAAGAAAATGCCATATCAGAGGCTTATGCTTTTAAAGTGCTTTTTCAACATGTTTACGGAAAACACTTATAGTGTAACTGTGTTTGAAATAAAAATAAGTATTGCTTAAACCACCTTCGAGATAATATACATCAGAACATACAGAATTGGTCCAGCGCTCCAGACATTTCTGGAAGCGTTCGAAGATTGCTTCTTTTGGTAACTGTCATACATTAGCCTCCACGACGGTTTTGGGTAACTTGAATTGACTCATATTGTGACTCATTAAATCATTTTGATAAAATTTTGAGAGTTAATTTTTTAAAAACTATTTGTGGGATTTTTACAAAACTTGGCATTTTGACATAATGCGAGTCGTAGAATCGAAATATGGAAAACAAATGGCATGTCATTTCAGAAAAAGTCCGATTCTGTGTCAAAATACCTATATTCGGACAATGCTTATATAAATCTAATACATGTCTTAACTCGCGCTTTTGAGCCATTAAAAACTCAATTTAAATTTCTTCAGTCCTTCCAGTAGAACAGGAGATATAATACTACCCCTTTTTTTCTGAGCGGTGTACATTAAATTATTAAGCGAAATGAATTTATGTGAAGAGTTTCACCACAGAAAGATGGAAAACTAATTAATTTAATTAGAGAAGAAATAATTGAACGCTTCAGTTGAAAGAAACTACTTGGGCGTTTTCAAGCACTAATTTGTTTTGAATTTGTTAAGATTTGAAACGGACATTTTTTTTCAATATTTGGAGTATCATTGATGAACTACACGCGAAATAAAAGAGTAAGATAATTATTTCTAGCATATATTCGCGACACCTCCTTTGAGAAATAGTTTGCAGGTAAGGATATTCCTATTTTTACTTACTTTGTCAAGTCTCTAATGAAAGGAAAATAAATTTTTGAAAACTTCTCTTGACTGAATCATTAAATTGCCTCTGAATTCGATAATAATTTAGAATTTTTATGAATTGTATGTCAAATTGCTTTATAAAAGACGAAACAACAAACTTATTTTTATCTTGCAAGCCGTAATTTATCTTTGCTTTTCGGTGCTTTTTCATAAATATAAAAAATACTGTTGCTTATAATTCTTTGGAATGAAATTGGTTGAAGCAGTAAATAATTGCATTCTATTGAATTAATTTTATTTTATACGCCTCGGTGGGAAGAGAAAGGCTTAAGTTACATAGCCTTAAGATGAATACATTATTTGTATGATTTACTGTTGTGCATTAAAGTTGAATATCTAAGAATAAACTTTGCTCGTAAAGAACGCAGATGTATACTTTTTATTCTCTTCTTAAACGTTTTTATCATTTTCAAGCCATGCAAATTCAGTGCTATTCAAATACAAATATCGATGTAAAATCTTTTCTGAAGTATGTAATTGCAGCATTTATGTTTACAATATATGTTGTTAGGTGAATATTTGATTAAGAAAATATATGGATTTAGTTTCTTTAAAAAAAAGGCCTGTTCATGAATACCTATTGTAGTCTGACTTTTGTCTAATTTATAAGTGAAGAAAAACTCAAGAAGTAATTTAAGGCCCTGGCATTATATTTGAATTTCACTCTTAGGAAAACTGCCACTATATTCATACCTTTTATTATTATAATTTGTGAGTCATTATGTATGCAGGAAAAATGAAATTGCATCCATTTTATGTATACGTTTTTAAGCCATGAAAAGAACTTTATTTGAGGAAGATCTCATATGAAGGCTTTCGTGAATAATAGAGCTATAAAGTAAGCGAAATAACGTCTCCAACTGTCTAGAATTTTAATTTTATACAGAAACATCAGCTATGAATATATGCCTCAATTGTTTACGAATTTATTTCGCAACAATATGTTCGTCAAGTAAATACTGCGAAGAAAATATTTTATAAAAGAGATTTTGAGTGAGTATAAAATACGAAGTTCTAACTAAAACAAAAAATGTGTTTAATTTCTTAAATGTGCGTAAACTGAATTAGACGAATGCATTCGTGACCGTGTTACAAGTTATTTTTTAATTGTAATGTCATTTGTGCTTTATAAATATATGTTCCACTGTTGTATATTTTTGTGACAATGTTGTGAATGTTGGAAATAAAGAAAAATTAAAATGATTGTTATTGTACTCTTTTTAGAACGTTATTATTTGTTTCCGAAGCATGCTGTTATACATTTTGCAACTGTATTAAATTTGTATACCGAGAAAAATATGTATATGTACTGTCGAAATTCATTAAAATCAGAGCTACGAAATAATTTCACTTTTCTGCTTTTCAGGCATTCATAAACATTTGCTGGATATACTATAATAAAGATTGCGAAATAAATAAATTTTATTGGTCCAGAAAGGCAATTGTATTATTCAATGACTTCTCTTCATAATTTAGTATTTTTAAGTTTTTCTTTACTTTAAGGAGTCGTGGATTTGTAGTGGTTAAGGAAAACACTTGCTGAAAAATGAAAACACAATGTATTAGCCAGTATTACTCAGGACAGCTCCAAAATCACTTTACAGTCGTCTAAAAACTACAACAAACACGCTGAAACAGTCAGTGACACAACCTTCAGACTATCAGGCTATAAAGGTGAAGCCAGCTTCACGGCAAAGCACTCGACTCTGCTCTGTTGGTTTCGGAACTCCACTTTCTCTCGAGACTTTCCACGCTACAGCTGACGATGCACTAGAGTACAGCTCCCGACTCGGTTTGGTTGTTTTCGGAGCTCAAAGCACTCGAAGATGCGCTAACTCGCGATACACTGAGGTTGCTATCACACATCCGTTTGTTTCGAAAGGACAACTGTTTGGAACAATGTTTTTGCTTTGTCACAACAGCCAATCACCAAAGATAGCATTGGGGGAAACTGGTTCTCCATTCAAACAGTCTGATAGCATTCGAAGCTGATTGGTTGAAAACGAACAGCATGCAATTTTTTTCGAAACGAAGGAAAAGATCGCGCGCCTTTCTTTCAATAGTAAACCACGCAGAAAAAATGTCCAAAACAATTGTTCGTGTGAAACAAATGGCTGTGTGATATTGGGCCTAAAAGACTCTCTCGATGCACTCGACGACCATCTCGACACTAGACTACGAGACACTCTCTCACTGTCTATTAACTGACTCGACTATGCACTGACTCTCCGAGTACCAGCAACGTTTATATAGCTTTTGTCTTCCGTTCGTGAACATTCTGGACCAAACCGGTAAGAGTTCGTTCCAGAAGGTTCTCCATCCATCTATGGCATATCGCCAAATGGGCGATTTCTCTCCAACTATGGCAACCCTGCCTTCCCTTGCCATTTTGTAGATATAGATTTAAATTAAAATTACGGTTATGTTGAACAGTATTTGGTGCATCCTGTGACGGACAAAATATATCAGATAGGGAATAATTAAGCCTATACGTTACATATTAATCCATCCCCTTGGATGAAACTGAGATACCCTTGCACGGGCAGAATCGTCAATTATAAGCACTGTAATTTTATGTATGGAACAGTTTCATCAGAACATAATGAATAGATTTTGTGTTGTT